GTACAACGGCCCAGCGCCCCTGGTTCACGGGGCAGCCATATAAGATAAACGAGTGTGTAATGGTACAACGGCCCAGCGCCCCTGGTTCACGGGGCAGCCATATAAGATAAACGAGTGTGTAATGGTACAACGGCCCAGCGCCCCTGGTTCACGGGGCAGCCATATAAGATAAACGAGTGTGTAATGGTACAACGGCCCAGCGCCCCTGGTTCACGGGGCAGCCATATAAGATAAACGAGTGTGTAATGGTACAACGGCCCAGCGCCCCTGGTTCACGGGGCAGCCATATAAGATAAACGAGTGTGTAATGGTACAACGGCCCAGCGCCCCTGGTTCACGGGGCAGCCATATAAGATAAGCGAGTGTGTAATGGTACAATGGCCAAACGAGGGGCAGTTTCTCTCTCTGACACATCACCCATAATAAGACAGATGGGGCTTTGCACGTGTGCACCCTGGTCTCACCACCATCACTGTTCTGGGCTGAACCTCCACCCCCAAGTTCATACGCGGAAGCTCTAATGCTAACGGGACGAGATCTGGAGAGAGGACCTTTAAGGAAGTAATGAGTTAAATGTGATCTGAAGGGGGGAGCCCAGTCCCATCGGATTAATGTCCTCACATGAAGAGAGAGCAGAGCCACCAGCCCCAAAAGAGGTCACGAGAGCACGAATGTGAGATGGTAGTCCCTTAAAAGCCAAGAGCAGAGGCCTCAGAACGAAGCCGGCCTGACCAGCACCTTGATTTTAGACTTCCTAGCGCCCAGAGCTACGAAGGACACATCTCTGTTGAAGCTCCCCGGTGCTTGTTACGACGTCAAACAGACCAACAGGAATACAGTGTACTTACACGCAGCTAGGGCTCTCTGAGAACAGCTCAAACGTGCTTAGCACCTCTCGGCCTTCATTATCTCCCCTGATTAAACCCCACTGAAGCGGGTGGTTTGAGCCAGAGACTGGGACGACGCAAGGAAAGACCTAGACCCTGCCTCCTTGAAAGCCATAAACCAATCTCAGCGTCTGCTTTTAGAAGACGCATCCCATCTTCTGGAAGGACTTTGAATGATACCTTAACAGGACTGGTGGGCGCAGGCTTCCTACTGACACGACAATGTCCTCGGTCGCCCCTCTTATCCAGTTTCACTTCTGCAGTTTCAGTAGCCTGCATCAAGCCAGCGCAAAGAGAGCTGAGTACAGTTGGTACAGTGAAAGAGTCTGAGAGACCACATTCACATAACCCTGACTGTAGTTACTGTTACAGTTATCCTACTATTTCCTACTGTTGTTATCATCTTACTACTGTCTCACTGCGCCTGGTTTACAATTAAACTTAACTTAGGTATGTATGTACATGAAATATTCACGTACATCCAGGGCTCAGGACTACTGTGCTTTCAGAGACCTACTGGGGATCTTGGAATGTATCCCCCATGGATAAGGGGGGACCTATTGTACTTGGTCTGGGAAAGCCAGGGCAGATCTGAAGATCAGTTAAGACCTTTGGACTTCTAACACCTGCTAAGTGCTGGCAAACACGGGCATAAGATGACACCAAGACATGGATCCTGCCTCCGGGAGTCACAGTCGAGGAAGGGTGGCAGTTCAGAAACAATGACAACAGCATTCAGCAATTTCCTATTTGCCACCGTAATGAATTGCCACAAACTTAGAACAACACAAATGTACTATTACGGATCTTATGAGCTAAAAATTGATGTGTTAGGCAGACTGCATTATTTTCTGGAGGTTCTAGGGGAGAATTCACTTCTGTCTTTCAGAGGCTGCCCACATTCCTTGGCTAGTGGCCCCCCTTCTCCCATTTTCAAAGCCAGTGGTGGCTGGGCAGATCTTTCTCACGTCACATCACTGTGACAATGACTCTTCTGCTTCCCTCTTCCACATTTAAGGACTCTTGGGGTTACGGTGGACCCACCTGGACAATCAGGGTACTCTCCTAATTTATGGCCAATGAATCAGCAACTCGAATCCATCTGTTGCCTTAATTCCCCACAGTCACGGGCTCCGGGGCAGGTGGCAGACACCTCTGGAGGCCGTTATTCTACCAGAAACTGATGAGCGGAAATGACAGGAAATAACAATTATGTGATATACAATTATAAACAATCAGGACAATTACATATTAAGTTGTCAGAAAAGTCACAATGTATTTTGTCTGGAAAAATGTGCCACAACGTTTCTGATGACCCAATAATTTACACACGCACACACCCCACCCTGGGCTCTTCTGATTCCACAGGTCTGTGGTGAACTTGGAGAGTTTCTTTCTAACACGATCCCAAGCGACCCCAATGCTGCTATCTGGAGGTCACACTTTTGAACAGCAAGTTCCTCAGACTGCAAGTATTTTCCCACTTGGGAGAGTGGATAGTTATCCAATCACTCGGACACCAACTGTCAGATGCTGCCAGCAGTGTGCTAAGAAGGAGGATAAATACAACAGAGTCTCTGCTTTTCAGGGGTTCTCAGACAGCTCAGGAGGCAATATCCAGTCCAAAATGAGCCCCATTAAAGAGCAGACCCCTCCATTAACTGCTTGCAGAGTGAGAGCGCTTACACCAGTTGTGCTGGAAGCAACAATAATGTTGAGAGGAACACCTCCATCCGGGCACTCAATAGATGACTCAAGCTATGACAAAACCTGGTATTTCTGAGAAACAGAATGAGCAGTGGATGAACCAGGGTGTCAGCTCAAGTTCAAAGTCCACACAACCCACACACTGGAACCAAGCCTACAGACTTCCTCTGGGCTCTCCTACTAAATGGCAATACCCAGTAAGACTCGCTGGCAAGAGCAAGAAACAGGACATAAATGAACAGTTGTGTGAACACAGAGCTGTCGAGAAAGCAGAGCCTGATGAGAGAAGCGGCTGCATGAAAGGATCCTCTTAAAAGTCCAAGAGCTTCAGTTTAGGAAGAAAATAAAACCCACAGCAATTAAGGCAGTAGTTCTCAAGTGGGGTGACTTCACACCTTCAGGGGACAAGTGGCAAGGGCTGGAAGCAGCCGGCCTGTTAGAACTGATGGAGTGCTACTGGCATCTAGTGGGTAGAAGCTGGAGATGCGGCTACAAATCACAAGGCTCAGCACCGCCTGCTACAACCAACACCTCTGTCCCGAAATGGCAGCACGATGAGGTTAAGGAACTCCAAGTCAGCCCAGCCTCGATGGCATAGTCAAGGGTGTCCCGAACCGCAGTGCTGGGAGTCACAGGCCTGGATCCCTGGCCTGGTAAACCCGAAACACAACGGATTCATACACATGCCCAAGATCATGATGAGCAGCAAGGTTAGGGGAGGGGAACCAAGGCATGATCAAACCCTGTTGAAGATGCTTCTCTCTATCAAGTGCATGCACATTCTATCATGGAGAAAAAATTTAAAACTCAAACTAAAAGTTAAAACGCTCCGAGTGAAGCAATCTGTGCCAAGTCAAACAAACGAGTGCCACACCACGGACTTGGATGAAAGCTGTCCAGCAGAGCATTCCGCAATGACTGGAAACGTTCTGTAGTCTGCGCTGTCTGAGGCGGCAGGCAACAGCCACATGTAGCTCTTGAACACTTGACATATGGGTAGTGTAACTGAAACTAAATAAGTTCATCTTCTTTATATTTAAAGTTAATTTATTCCATACGTGAAAGCATGCATGAGAGAGAGAGAGAGAGAGAGAGAGAGAGAAAGAGAGAGAGGAGGGCACGCAAGCTCTTTCTTTTTTCTTTTTTTTTAAGAGGTTTTTGCTATAGGGCGCGTGTGCTCGCCAAATAGAGAGAGACAGAGAGACTGCAAGCGAGAAATCACCCCTCGGGGGGATGGCCAGGCCGCAATCCCCTCTCCTCCATTCTCCTCTTGGGATCTTGGGCACGCACGCACATGTGCCCTGCATGAGTTCTAAGCCACCAGGTCCGGGACGCGAACATGGTCAACTACTTGGGAGTCCAGTGACATAGTCATTATGCTAACTGCTGGTCCCACAAGCTCTTTCTTGATGCCACAATCCACTCCCAGCCTCAGCTAGTCCTCGGTCATGGGCACCTATGTGCCCAGTGTATTCAGATGAGAAGCTGAACCCTTCCCATGTGGTCAGCCTCGGAGAATGGTGCATTTTACTACTGAGCTACCATTTGGCATCTTATTTAGCCTTTAATAATTTATATCTACATAGCCACACATAACCAGCGGCTACCCTATTGGGCAGAGCGCATTATTATCCATCCTTCTGACTCCTGATTGGTTTTCTTCCAGTTTCACAGTCTGCTTCTTTCCCCACCTCTGAACCCACTCACCCACATGACTGCATCAGTGAGATTTGGCCGGGGGGAAAAATATGAGAGTAAAGTGACAGTAAAAAATTTAAAAACTTAGTAAAACATTCCCAGTTAGATATTCCCTGTTTTGGACATTGGGAAACAAGGCAGGCAAAAGATTAGATCAAGGTTACACAAACATGTAATAAGAATGCAAAAGGAAACAAAGATCTAACTATTCCTACTTCCACTTGCAAGGAAGGGCAACACGGTAGACAGTTGTAACAAACAACCCTCAGAACCTTAGACCCTGAGGTTTCGGATCTGATTTCTCCACTTGGTCATCTAACAGTCCCTTTCACTTCTCAGAAGCTGGGTAAGCAAGCGGGCAGGTCAACACACTAGCAAATTCTCCCGCTCTGAATTCTCTCCCACCAGAGGCCACTCTCTAACTGGTTTTGGTGGAGACCACACTGAAGACCACCACTTCCCAGGCACTGTGCTAAGTACTACACCTGGATTATGGCGCCTCATGTTCACTGCTGCTTGGTCCAAATGACAGCCAATCTGGAGCTAAGCTGAGACTTCGGATACGAATTCAACTCTCCTGCTCTCAGCTACGTGCGAAAGGCCAGTGCCCCGGCAAAACTCATGCCGGCTGAGAAGGCGTGGAGTTCCCCTAGGGAGCAGAGCAGCCAGGGGGCTGCCTAGCCAGGGCGGGGTCCCTGCGGCTCTTACTTCTCGATCTCCAGCGCCGCTACCTTCCGTTTTTCGTACAGCTTGTCATTGAGGGCGCGCACGATGTTGGGTGTGAGCGGCGCGAAGTCCTTCTCCGGGTTCATGGTGGCAGCTTGGGGAAACTCCCGGAGCCTCGAGGCTCCTTAGCCCGCGGCTGCCGGGGCTGCGGCGGGGCCAGGGGAGTCTACCGTTCGGCGCTGCCCGCGGGGCCGGCTCATGGACCACGCCGCCCCGGGCCGGCCTGCTTTGCTCGGCCTTGGAATCCGGGAGCCGGCTTCTGCACACCTGATCCTGGTCGCCTAATCGCAGCTGCGACCAGCTCCCGCCCAGTACCAGCAGCACTCACGGGGCAGAGGACATGTTGTTCGGGTCACATGATTCCGCAGCAGCTTCCGCCTTCCGCCACGAGGACCCGCCCCCTGTTAGCCACGCCCCCGCACGCAGGCCGCAGGTGGATTGGCCACGCCCCCAGGTCCCCGCCCCCTGCCCGCGAACGGCCCTGCTCTGCCCCGCACAGGCTGAGGGTGGTCTGATTTCTGCTTTACCAGGGCTTATCTCGCACACTGGGCTGCCTGCGCGTAGTAGGCTTGGTGCGTAGTGGGATTCTGTTGACATTTGGCGAGATCGGAAGGGTTTTTGGCGCCAGATTCACGTAGCGTAATTTATTCAATACTTACTGGAGTCACTGGTTCATTCAGTACTTAGTCACTTAGCAGTCAGGTTGGAATATGCCAATGTTTCCCAAATGGAGTAACATATTATGGTTTTTGCCATATCCTAGTACTAGTGTACTATTACTATATTTTCCCTCAAATCATTTTTTAAAATCTTAAATTCCTACTTTAGCTGTGTTTATGCCCTGAAATCATGGGTTTGAATTGGTTATATATTTTTTCTAAGACATTAAATTGAAGTCTTAATAAAAAATAAAGAGGTATGACTACCTACTTACTACCTAAAATCTCAGGTGTTAGTAGTAGCTGTTACCCCACCATCTGGGAGTCGGGGTGCATTTACCATGCTCTGATACCTAGGAGTGCTGGGTTACAGACAGAGAAGCCCCCACTCTGCTGGGTGCAGGGCTCCAGATGGGTCCACGGGAAAGTTGGCCCTTCAGGTACTTTGAGAATCACGCTAAACGGTGTGACAGACATCACAGCTCTGCGGTAAAATGTTAGTAAACACTTTGTGGCTGCAGTGTGGTTAAAGATGCAGCAGTAGGGGACCAGCAGGTGGCATGGTGGTTAAAACGCTGGACTCCCACATGGCTGACCACAGCTGTAAACTCTGGGGTCTTGAAAACGGTGTTTGGTGCCTATGGGTGCGTGCCTCAAATCCTCAGAGGATTTTTTTTTTTTTTGAGAGGTTTTGGCTATAGGGTGCGTGCGCTCGCCAGAGAGACAGAGAGACAGAGAGACAGAAAGCGAGAAATCACCCCCCAGGGGGGATGGTCACGCCGCAATCCCTTCTCCTCCATTCTCCTCTCGGGATCTTGGGCACGCACGCACACGCGCCCAGCGTGAGTTTTAAGCCACCTGGTCCGGGACACGAACCGCGGTCGACTACGTGGGAGTCCAGCGACATAGCCATTACGCTAACTGCTGGTTCCCTCTGGTGAGTCTTTAAAAAAATTTGGGAGAGATGTGATGTGGGTGAGAGATTGTCCTGCGGGCCTTGAAGAGTAAACAGCCATGAAGGGACCTGGGACCGGTCTCTAGTTGCTGAGAATGGTCTTCTGTCATCAGTTGCCAAGAAAATAGGGACTTTAGTCAGGTGGTCAAAAGGAAGTGTATTTTGCCAACACGCTGAAGGGGCTTGGAAACAGATTTTCTCCCTAGTTGAACCTCCAGATGAGGATGCAGCTGGCTAGCACCCTGATTTAAGCTTGTGGAACCGAGCTGAGAGACAAGTTTAGTCTATTTTGGATTCTACCCCACAGAAACTGAGATAATACATTTCTGTTGTTTTAAGCTGCTAGATTTATTGTAATTTGTTATGCAGCCATAGAAAACTAACTCGGGAATGCTATAATTTGAATAATGGTGTCCTCAAAGTTTCAATCTAGTTCATCGTGTAATGGTTTTGGGAGATGGTAAAACCTTCAAGAGGTGGGCCTAATGGGTGGCATTTGGATTATAGAGGTGTTGCCCCTATGAATGAATGAATGCTGTCTTGTGAGACCAAGTGAGTTATAACTCTCTTGAGAAGGGGTTAATTCTTGTGAGCGGGCTCTTTTTAAAGAAAGAAGGCTGCCCTCTGGTCTCTTTCTGCACTTGTCCACCATCCTCTCTGCTTCTGTTGGCCATGTGTTGGCTTAGACAACCTGACGCCAGCCTCATGTCTTTGGACTTTCCAATCACCAGAATCGTGAGTCAAATAAACCATTCTTTATGAATCACCCAGTCTCAGGGCCAGCAGCTGGTGTGATGGTTAAGGCACTAGACTCCCACATAGCCGATCCTGGTTCAAGTCCCAGACCTGGTGGCTGATAATCACACCAGGGCATACCTGAAGTCTCCAGAGAAGAGTGGAAGAGAGGGGAAATCACTCCCTGGGGAGTGATTTCTTGCTTCCTCTCTTTCTGTCTCTCCCTTTTTCTCTTCAGTGAGTCCACGGACCTTATGGCCAAACAAAACAAAACAAAAACACAACAACAAAAAAAACCATAAATCACTCAGTTTCAGGTTTAAGCAATGGAATGATGAACTAAGCCACGGGACTAATTTGAAACTCAGTAAGTCATGGAGAAACTGTGTCTAGAAAAAAACATGAAAAGTGTATTTTTCTTTACTGGTGGGTTTTTTTTATGGCTGTAAAGACCTTTTCCACCACAACCCGATGAATAAAGGTAGGTGTAATACCCACTGACCCCAAATGTATATTTACCTCCAACAAAACTGTATCACTTCATAGTTTCCTTCTCTCACCTTAATGTCAAGTAGCACTGACAAGGACATTTCCAAATGTCTTGCAAAGTTTATGTCCTTAAGATTTTGATGATGGTCGATACAAAGCAATGAAAAAAATTAAATCAATAGGAACGACTTGAGTCTCTTTTTCCAATGTGTATTCCTTTCCTTTGGCTGTCTCTCTAATATTTCATCTGTTTCTTCTGCCTTTTGGTTTGGCTTTTTCTTAAAGGTGAACTGAATTTCCCAAGGGTCATAATGTGATCCAGTTTTTGTTAACTGAAACACTAAGGAAAATTTTTTTTCTTTTTCAGAAGGAATTCTTTTTTTTTCTTGAAATTACATTCTGGACCAGGTTTCTTAAGAAACCAGTTTCTTACTCAAGAATGAAACTGATACTAGAAGAAGTGGTTTATTTTCTCTGATATTTTGGAAAATGCTAACTAATTTATGCATAATTGGGTTAGCAATGGTGCTAGGAAAAAAAACAAAGGCTGGACCAACAGATGGCATAATGGTTGCATCACTGGACTCCCACACGTTGACTGCGGTTCAAATCCTAGACCCGGGGGCCTCAAACTCATACCGGGCATGTGTGCATGAGTTCCCAAGAACCCAGGAGGAGAATAGAGAAGGAATTGTGGTGTGGCCATGCCCTCTGGGAGATGATTTCTTGCTTTCTGTCTTTCTGGCATGGGCCCTATAGCAAAAATCTCTCTTAAAAAAAGGGAGGCCAGCAGGTGGCACTGGACTCACACATGGCTGACCATAGTTCAAGTCCTGGACTTGGCGGCTTGCCTTTTCACTTTCTCTCTCTCTCCCTCTGAGTCTCATTCTGGTCAAATTAGAAATAACAGTAATGATAAAATAAAGGAAATCTTAAAAAAAAGAACAACAACAAAGGGCCACCCTGTGTGTGTGTATCATTAGTTTGCTATAGGGAGGGGCACTCACCAGAGACAGAGAGAGTGAGAAATCACTCCCCAGGTGGTGGATAGCTACACTAAAATTCTTTTCCTTCCATTCTCCTCTCAGGACTCTGGGCACGTATGCACACGTGCCTGGTGTGATTCCCAAACTGTGCAGCCAGTCATGTGGGATGCAGCCGCCTTAACCTCCTGTTGCCTGCTGGCCCTGCGCCTGGTTTTTAATAATTGGAATAGTGAGGTAAGACACTGGTGGCCAGCCCTGGCCAGGATTGCCGTACTCGGACTCTTCTAGATTGGTGGATACTGCATACAGGCCAGCATTTTACATTTGTGAGTAATCTGCAGCTGTGTGGTACCTAGTTGTTATCGAGGCAAGAGAAAGTTAGCAAATGGAAGCTGGTAAGGGGGCTGGGGCATCTGCCTCTGTGGCTAGATGGAAAACTGACCAGTGGAGAAAATTCCCCGCCCAAGGTAAGATAGGCAGGAGATTTCCAGTGGGGGGTGGGTGCCTAGCTAAGTGAGCCACATTTGATATAGCCAATGAGATGAGAACGGCCAGTGGGCCCAGCCAACATCAACCACCACCACTAAGATAAAAAATATATCAATTTGTCTGCAGAAACAAATCCACTACACACCAGTCATTAATCATCTTTATTTCAACAGGTGGCACTAACAGGAAAGTGGTCCATTAATATGCACGGCAGGGCCCAGGAGAGAGGCGGCTGGGAGCCAAGTCTCTGGGCTGAGGCAGGCTCTGCATGGCTCCTTGGAGGTGGGGTGGCACTCAAGAGAGGCACTGACTTATGATGTCACCCTTTACATGCACACAGAATAGTTACGTTTCAGTACATCATACCGGGACATGAACCTGGCCCTGGAAGGGATCCTGACTCATTGCAGCAGGCAGTCTTGGGAGTGGGGCTGTCTCGACTGCAGTACTGGATCTCAGTGCTGCTGAACAAGTGATATATATAAAAACAAAGATGCCCACACCCCTCTCTACACCAATGCACTCGACCTTGGGGGAGGGCTGGATTCTGGTGAGTGACTCTGATGTGCAGGTGGGTGGAGAATCACCGTCGGCCAGCTGACTGTGTGCACAGGGCTGGACAGGGCGTGGGGGGCTGGGGTCTCTGTGAGCCTTTCTCCAGGTCCTGATCTTCGGTGAGAACTTTTTGCAGGGAAGAGACGGAGCATTTGGAGACGGACAGTGCCAAAGCCAAGAGAAAAAGGGGAAGTTGCCTGAATGTTACCTGTTCATTG